AGGTGATAGTGGGGAAACCATAGAAGTGCCGAAGATCTGTTCATAAAAACGTCCGTTGAAAGAAAAGCAAGTTGAGTTCAATATCAATTCTATAGTATGTAAAAACTGTGACAAATTATTTTTAGAGATGTCCACCGCTTTCTTATGGCATTCACAACTAATTCTTTTGAAACGTTGGTGAATAGAGAAGCAACATCCAATGAAATCATTATGTTATCTTCTTCAATACAAGTGTTCTTAATTCTGTCAACAAAGGACCATCCATCTTTAATATGTGAGTTAGGTTTCTTAATCGATTTGTGAAGAATGTTATGAATATATGTAGAAATATTATAAACCGGACTTCCCAAAGCGGATACAATAAGTTTCAACGGGAAACCATCTTTATGGATCTTCGGCAGACCGTAGCAACGCGGTAAATATTTACAAAAATTATTAATTCACCTACAAGTTACCGTTGTACAATTAGATTTCTGTATGTTATCACCTATCAAGTTATTTTCTTCCAAGACTTGTCACGCGTGACATGATATCTTGTCATTATCGCGTATAAATTTTTTAGAAACAGCGAACGAATCGAGAATGCATCTATCTGGATGATTAATGTGTTTTTTTGTGAAAAGAAATCTTTGAAATTGATTCGTCGATCAATTTTCTTAATGTAAAAGTCATTAGGTCAGGCTCTAAACTTATCACTAATTGGTTTAGGAAACCTACATGGTCTGGTAGAATATTAACTTTATTCGAATCACCGTTAAGTATAAAAAATACATTTACAATTTAGTCGATATGTATTTTTATCTGAGATGCTTTAAGCAAGATAATATCAAACTAGTTTATGAACTTGATCAATAATTGGTTTCTAAAACCTACATAGTTGGAGATACATTCGAAAGAGAATCAATTTTTTAAATAATCGTGACCGGTAATACAAACTGGACCGAACAATATCCTAACCTCATATAGAATCAAGAGCTAAAATTAGTTACAATTACACAATCACCGTTAAGGCATATACGACGAGCCATGATCGCCTTTTGCGAAATAACGGTTTTAGCGTTGTTTACACAATAACAAAAAAACTAAATAATTTAATTAAACGCGGTAAAGACAGATTACATAATAACGATAAGACAAGCGTTGTATATAAATTAAATTGCAAAGATTGCAACATATCATACATAGATCAAACAAAAAGACATCTACGTACACGAGTGAAGGAACAATAGGCGTACCACCACCACCACGACACCTGGGGAAGAAGGGAGACAAGTGCTACGCGACCGGGTTAGTCAGGCAGACACCGAAAGAGAAAAATCGACTGGAGGATTTTCTGACGGACGAATTTAAACGTTTCGAAGCTATACAAGGACGGACAGACAAGGTACAACACGAGATACGACTGAGGGACGAAAGACCAATTAAACAAAGATATCGGCCAAGAAACCCGGTAATGCAAGCAATTATAGACAAGGAAGTAGACGAAATGTTACAACAAGATATAATCGAACCATCACACAGTCCGTGGAGCTCACCAATAGTCATTGTGAAGAAGAAGGACGGAAAACACCGGTTCTGCATCGATTTCCGGCGGGTGAATGAGGTAACGATAAAAGACGCATATCCGCTACCACAAATAACGGCAACGTTGGACAAACTAAGAGGGGCCAGATATCTGTCAACATTAGACCTTAAAAACGAGTATTGGCAAGTACCATTGACCAAAGAAAGCAGGCCAATAACAGCTTTCACGATTCCGGGCAGAGGATTATTTCAATTTAAAGTAATGCCATTCGGCCTGCATTCCGCACCAGCAACTTTTCAAAGACTGCTAGACACGGTCTTAGGACCCGAATTAGAACCAAACGTATTTGTATATCTGGATGATATTATCGTGATCAGCAAGACGTTCGAGGAACACCTCGAGTTACTAGCGGAAACATTCAAACGCCTTCGTGAAGCGCACCTCCGTCTGAACCCTGACAAATGCAAATTTTGTGTAGACCAGCTGAAATATCTGAGACACATTATAGACCGACAAGGTATTCGACTGACCCAGAGAAAATAAGCGCGGTAGTAGACTGGCCGGAACCTCGTACAGTTAAACAGATTAGACAATTCGTTGGGATGGCCTCCGGTTCCAGAAGTAATATTTTTTATTCGAACAATACTTCCATCACTTAAACCACAGCAATTATCTGCTAATATATCTGTACGTATGGTTGCATTTGAGCATTTTATTATGTAATATTGTGGATTACAGCAACCTTCAATTAAAGGACCTTTCGTATGAATAGATTTTCTGTCAATTACAAAGTCAGATAATGTTGTCATGCAATTCTCGCGGTTTCTCAATGTTTCTTCGTTCAATATATCTTCTAACAACCTGTTGTAATGGTTGGTTATGCTTTTTTAATATATTTTTTAATATTTGCAAATAATTTTCATATTTGAACGAACTAAAGGTATCTAGTGTACCAAATCTTTTCGCATCTTGTGCTAAATGAATGAGACCATGTACGTTATGTGAAATGTTGAAAGCACCATATAATAATTTGAAAGATAATGAAACAAAATGTTCTAGAAGCTCTTGAGCATAGTCAATATATTCGTGAAATTGTGAACAACATAATATTCTAATCGCAACATGCAATACTAAAAAATGATTATACAGATCCTTTCGAAGAAGTTTAAAAACTACACAGCCTGTGTATAACAGTACATTTCGAAATTCTGTTGCCTTCCATAGTTTGACAAAAGCAAGTGATCTTGATTTACGCACAAATTCGCATGGTATATATATTTGTAATACATTTTCCAACTGTGATGATATTTCATCCACTTTTCTGTGTTGTAAACGGACTTCAAGTTTTCCGAATAACCACATATATAATAATTTACGCATGATTCCTAAACATACAAGATGCATATAGTCCAAAGGTATATTGTTCACAAAATCAAAATCTGATAGCTTTAAAATAGCAGAATGCCCAACATGATAATTTTCGTCCTTCCTTAAATGGAAATCTTTATCTGTTCGTAGTTGTGCATTTGTTTCAGGAAAATACATTTTACCGTTAATATAACTGCCTTCAATTATGCACTTTGTGCAACTGGAATAACCGTTATGTCCTTTTACTTGCAACACAAATGCTTTCGCTGGTGCATCACATATAATAGAATGTAATGTACATGGTATATTTTTGTTATTAACAGTAATTCCTTCTTCGTGTAATATTTTTACTTCATCTACAAATTTTGCAAGAAATTCATTTGAATCTGATGGTTTATGTGTTCCATAATAAATGCCAATAATAAAAACTTCTTTAGATTCAGGATATGGCAAAATTGTTGCTGTGACGACTTCGACAATGGCAATCCATCGATATTTATTGATATTTTAATTTCTGTAATATTTTGTGAAACTAATGGTAAAATACTTAGTATCCCTTCTCTTAGTCCAAAATGATAATATTGACCACCAGCACAAATCTCAATATTACTACTTCTATGAGTACGCAAAAGAGTTCTTGAATTTAACGGTATGTTTAAATTGCAGTTATTACATGTATATTGTTTAATTCCTTTTAACAAAGAGTTCAATGATGATTGCGAAATACGTTCTTTAACAGCCCATTGGCTTAAAAATGTCTTAAAATCTATATTCTTTGATGCACTATCTACATTATTATTTTCTGTAACATTGTTTATTTCATCTTGTACGACTCTGCTATTTTCATCAGAAAACTCATATTCACTTGATATTAAATTCTCATTACGTAAAACATTTTCAAATTCATTTGATATTAGATCCTCATCACATGAAATATTTTCAGATTCATTTGATACTAGATCCTCATCATGTAAAACATTTTCAAATTCATTTTGTATGTCATTTTCTATAGAATCATGTACATTTTCATTTTGTAATATATTTTCAGAAAATAATGTAGAAGCAGATGTTGATTGAATGATTTTATGAGATTCCATTATAATATCTGTTTCCATTTTTATCATTTTTAATCGATGTGAGGAAATAACTGTACGTTTATATGAATGTTTTTTACCTAACATTTTAAATTTGTTTTCTAAGATTAATTTAGCAATTGCTTTTATAAAAAACAATAGTAATTTAGAAAAACAAGTAATTTAAAAAAAATAGTACAAATTTAAAAATAGTAGTTTGAAAATAAAAATTAATTTAATAATATAAAGATTTAATAATATGTGCGTGTAGGTATGTGTGTATGTGTATAGAAAAAGTTAGTCCGTAATTCATCTGTAAAAAATAAATTTATAATTTATAAATTGAATTTCTTCAGAAACTGTTCGAATTTCTAATTGTTTATGTAAAAAAAATTGATAACACCTACAATACATTTTCCAGATTTATATTATAATATACCAGATATTCAAAATAAAGTGTCACAAGTTTATCTCTAAAAATATAATTCTAGAAAAAATAAAAAATGTAAGTGATCATGTAAGCCAACATGCTAGTTATAAAGCTAAAAATTTGTTTATACGCTGCTTGCTGTCATACATGTGAGTATGCTTTCAAAGATAGTGTTATTTTTGTTGTGTAATTTAATAAAATAAACTAAATATATCATATCAATTAGCAACGATTTACTATTATGCATTGCTAATTGACATAATATAATATTTAATTTATTTATCAAATTGTTATTAAATTACACCAAAAATAGCACTGGTTTTATCTTTGAAAACTAGCATGTTCACACGCATGACAGCAAGCAGCGTACAAATAAATTCTAGCTGCATAACTAGCAAGTTAGCTTGCATAGTCACCTACATTTTTAATTTTCTCTAGAATTATATTTTTGAAGATAAACTTGTGACACTTTATTTTGAACATTTATTTTGAACTAATATGCTAACACTCATGAGAACATGCAGCATACAAAATTTATTCTAGCTCTATAGTTAGCATTTTAGCATAGCTCGCATGGGATTCAATACACAAAAAACACACCATGTGCCATAGACTTAACTTTAATAAATTTAAGTTTTTCTTTATTTACATATCTAATAATAGATGAAGCCTCCTTTCTTTTACTATTATTAGAATTGTACTATACTTTTTGTTTTATTATTAGAATTGCACTATACTATACTTTGCACTGTTCTGCCAACAGAATGTACACAATAATACTGCAACATAGAACAAAAATAATAATAATTATTTTTACATCTACACACACACACACACACACACACACACACACACACACACACACACAATAACGAATGATTGGACTGCTACAATAAATTTTGAGGTTAAATTCAAGATTTGTGTATGAAGTTAATATATATACAGCATAGCACATACAAAATTCGTTTAATAAGATCTGCAAATGTAATTATACGCATTTAAAAATAACGCAGTTAAGATTACGTTCCAAAACGTCAAGAAGAGATTACCTGAAATTAAAGCAATATTCGTTGTACACTCTGGTTGCTGGTTGTTCTTTTCCCGGTAACCATGTAAGAAGAGACCGGAATCGGAAATCCTGTCATTTTATATCGTACTTGTAACGGTGGCGCTATTATTATATATCGTACCGCGTAATTTGAAAAGTCAAATATTGATCATATAATAAATATAAATTTTCTCGTTATATTTTAATATCAGTTTACTTACCGCGATACACTTTGATTGTATTTGTTTATAGGCACTTACACACTTAACATTTTTTAACGCTGCGTTTTCATTATATATTAACAATATCCCAAAATCATTAATGTCTATTAAACTCAAAAATAACTAAGTCCTAAAATCATCCTATACATATCTATCTCTTAAGATGCATAATCCCAGGATGTTCTAAGTACGTCCTACAAAACTCCTCAAGACATCCTGGGTACATTTTCGATATGCCCATGTATGAAAAAGTTCTGGGGGGCGTACTCAAAACATCCTGGGATATGCCTTAAGACATGGATATATATAGGATGATTTTAGGATTCTTAGCTATTTTTGAGTCTAGTGGACATTAAATGAAAGATTTATATACTTTATTGTAATTCTTAAAACTTTCTGAAATTACTCCAAGTCTTTCATCATAAATTAATGAAGTCAGATATACATATAAAGTTATAAATATCCTCAAAATATCCCAGGACATCCTGGACATATTCAGGATAATCCTAGAAATATTCCAGGACATCCTGGACATATTCAGGATTATCCTGAGGACGTCTTGTGCTATTTGGGTTGTTCGTAGTAGACTGAATGCTAGAATAGAATGGTAGACTGAATTTATTAAATAATTTTTTTTCTAAACCATTGATTAAAACGATTCTTTTCGGAGCCATAATTTATTTTACGTTGGAACATTCGTGCGGAAATTTCATTTAAAAATTTTTAAAAAACATTGTATTTTAACGTATCATTCATTCCTTTCCTGCTATATTAATGATTTATTTTTGTATAATTAAATCGCGCGTGTGTATTACCGACTCTGTCCATTATCGACCCAGAGTATTATTTTGTAGCGATCGGTAATTAGATCGATAAATCAGGATTAGTTGGCCGCTGCCGGCTGATGGCGCTATGATATATGTCTACGTTCTCCTTGCCCCGAGAGGGGCCACGGAACGAATCGTTGTCGCGCAGTACTTGGTAGCGCCGCATCGAGAGCAATGACTCTCAACTCAATGCTTGGAACACAATACTTGGACTTGTTTTTTATGTACTTGGCGTCGCGATGCTACCGCGTCGCTTGATAAAATGATTCTGCAGTCATCCACCCTTTCTCAAATAAACCTATGTGCCAGCTTTTTGGAAATTCACTAGATACTGAGTACGGCACTCGTTTATACTAATACATTATCATTGGTGAAACCATAGATTCTGCTGCATTTACTATGAATAACATAGTAAGGCTTTCTTTTTCTCTGCATTGACTATTTTATATACAGATTTAGATTCTCTTCTAGTAATGATTTAGTCTGGTTTTGGACACAAAAGAAATAAACTTTTATCACAATTATACACTCTAGAAAAATGCATTTCCAGTAAATTTAATTTAATCAAGTGTAGAAAGACTTCATTGAACCAGTTACGTATTTCTTTTTCTGTTACTGAAGCACGAGTATGTGTTAAATTTTGAGCGATTCTTATTGCTAACTCAGGATGACGACGAAGAAATCCTTCGTACCAATCTATCTACTTGATCCATTATTAGTAAAAGGTGTTATTCTTTCCAATTTAATAATAAGTTATTGAGCACTGTCTAATAGTTGATTTTTTGTTACCGGAAATCCACGTTCGCCAAGAAAAAAAATCCATTCAACTAATCTGTTTTCTTCATCTTTCCTTAAATACGTTGATGAACCCATTTTAGCTTCAATCGGGATTTTTTCCTTATTTTTTGTGTAAAGTGCTTTTAGGTATACCAAATGTTGTGCTAGCAATTTCCAACGACATATCATTTTTTACTGCTTCCAAAGCAGAATTAACATCTGCCTGTGCATATCCACATCTTTTTTCTTTTTTTTTCTTTTGGCTCTTTATCTTAATTTTCAAAATAAGTATCTAAATATAACAACAAAAAGAAAAGAAAGGAAAGTTAATGTATAATTTTAAGGTTATTTGTGTGTCAACATGATTTCTCACACCTCTCATTTATTATTACGACATAAATGTATATTAGTTATTAAGTTTATTATTACTAAATTAATTATAGATTATTTAAAATATAAAAATACTTACTAAAAAACTATAATTAACGAAAAAACTTTCTTATTCGTGTTGTGTGTGTTATCTCGCTATGTGCGTCTCACTACAAGCATTTTTAGTGTAGTTGTACCGATAAATAAACGAGTGGTCAATAATTGGGGCAATCCTAAATTTTTGTGTACTAGTAAATAAACATTAAATTTATTATATTTAAATAAATTTACTTAATAAAATAAAAATTTTATTTTAACAATATGTTCTTTTAAAAATTTAAATAACTTTTACTTTTTACAAAAAGCATAATTTATATAGAAAATTCATAAGTAGTAAACGGCGTGTCTTAACCGAATCATTAAGAAACCATTGCTAAAATAGGCAACTACTACTTATAAAAATAATTTTTTTTTGCTTACAAATCATTTTACGTTTTAATCTTTTTCTTTCTTTTTTTAAATAAATATTTAAAAATGCGAATTAAATATTCATAATTTTGTAACTATACATAGAAAGCTTAATAATAATAGATATTTACTGCATTGTTAAACACTGGGACGTGTTCAACCACTGGTACTTTTATAAAAACATAATTTATATAGGAAATACATTCTTAAGTAGTAAACGGCGTGTCTTAACCGAATCATTAAGAAACCATTGAGAATGCTAAAATACTTTTAAATTACTTTTAAATTACTTTTAAATTACTTTTCATATTTTACAAATATCAATAATGTTTGTTGTAATTTTTATAATAACACTTTTTTGAATATTAATGAAAAAGGAAAGCTAATAATAATTATATTTCTGCATTCGCGATACAATCCAATGAATATGTACCATAGAAATTATTCACTTACTAATTATCTAATTAAAAGAGTTATCTAATTTAATCTTAAGATATATACTGTGATCGTGACCATAAAGAGAAATTTAAAAACATAATATTAGAAGATAATAACTTGCAATTTTTAAAAACTGAGTTTTAAGAAATTTATCGAAAATATATGTATCTATATAAATTAATATCAATTCGATTAGCACCTCAGAAATAGTAGAATGAGAAAAACAATTAACTGAGGATTTAACGGGAATTGAATGTAAACATTTAGGAAAAAATGGAAATTATGTTTGGAACAATTTTATGTGTTTTATTGAAAGGTTTAGTACTGACAAAGGCAACTATCACGCCGAAGATTATACCACTTCAAACAGCCTCCAGAAAGAAAGTGTTTCCATGTATCCGAATTTAAATTTCACGCAGATAAGAGATATTTTTTGCTTGGTTAAGAAACAATTGAACGTTATTGCAGCTAGTAGTGTAACTAAAAATGAATGATAATAAATTATATATTCTACTTATATAACAAGATAAAATAAAATAAAACAATTCAATATAAAAGAAAAAAGTACGTAAAATGTAAAAAAAATGGATGAAGTTTCGAAATTTTGTTTACAAATGAATGTTATATAGTATATTATGTTTAAAAATTAAAACAATATTTTAAAATTTGACTATTATTTTGTATCTTTCTTTCTGTCTCTGTCACTCTCTCTCTCTCTCTCTCTCTCTCTCTCTCTATATATATATATATATATATATTATATATATATATATATATAAATTATTATTTCTAAAAGTAACAATTTTTAAAATTAATGAGGTTTTCTGTCTACTATCTGCTACATTAATATATACATACGATGACACTAACAATAGATTTTTATGTTATTAGGTGTACAACTTTGCTTCCGCCGTTTTTTTCCGAAATTCGAGGCTTTATTGTAAAAAACTAGTTATACATTTATGATTCAAAGTATTGTCCATCGCTGGCCACTACTTTCTCCCATCTTTCGGGCAGCGTATGAATCCCGCGTCGAAAAAACTGATCATATTTTGAGGCGATCCACGAATCGATCCAATTTTTTACTTCTTCATAAGACTGGAAGTGCTGGTCAGCCAGGCCGTGTGCCATTGATCGAAACAAGTGATAGTCAGAGGAGCAACATCTGGACAATACAGCAGATGGGTAGGACTTCCATTTCAACGTTTCCAAGTATGTCTTGACCACTTTCGCAACATGGGGTCGAGCATTGTCATGCTGCAAAATCACTTTATCGTGTCTCTCGTTGTAGTGCGGCCATTTGTCTTTCAATGCTCGGCTCAAACGCATCAATTGCGTTCGATACCGATCGCCTATGATTGTTTCAGTCGGTTTTAACAGCTTAATATAATCTTCTTTCTTCCACCGCTATGCCGGTCTTCGACGTCAAAATCACTGTTCTTGAAGTGTTGAAACCACTCACGACACGTTCTTTCACTAATAGCGGCCTCACCATAAGTATATCTGAGAGCATTCGATGAGCCTCAGCCGCAGATTTCTTCATATTGAAGCAGAAAATTAAAACCTCCCGCAAATGACGAGAATTTGGCTCGTAAACTGACATTTTCAATTGAGAATAACTTTATGATGGAGACACAAATCGACTAATGTTTCTATGGGGTTATGTTGACAGATGCCCAAGTATAATGTATGACATCTATGATCTATTTATTTCGACCACCACCTACCGCTAAAGCAATCTACAGAAAAACGGCGGAAGCAAAGTTGTACACCTAATATTTTTCTTCAATAAATAATTTTTCTAGATATTTATAATAATATTTATTAATATATAGTAAGACTTATACTAATGTAGATTTTATTTTATGAAATTCATTTAGAAAGTAAGTACCATTTCTTTGTGTTAAGGATAATGTATATAACGGAACAGAGCTATTAAATATCAAGATAGAAAATCTGTTTAATAAATAAATCATCCTTGATTAATAAAAAACTGATGTGCAAAAGATGATACCAAAATATGTTATTGTTATTGAGAATAGCGGCCAGAATCGATCCAAGCTCGTTGAAACGCATACTCCTTCCGTCTTTTGCCAACCTACGGTTGGCAACAGTCGGGAGTAAAAAATCACTTATCAAACATTCTTCAAATTGTATCTATTGTAATCGGTGAAATGTGAATCCGTTGGATCGATTTTAGAATCCTGAGCTATTATCGCGCGGAATAAATGTTCGTTACTTGTCTAGAGGCGAAATGCGAATGCCACGTCTTCTATTCGGTCTTAGCGGGCTGTCCCTGTCTCAAGACGAGGCAAAGTGCTCTCGATTAAAACAAACGGTCAATACAATGATATTATATCTCGTCAATTCTTTCGCATTTCTATTATCACAGTTCGGCTAGCCTGATTTTTGGCCATCCCGGTCAAACATAAAACTAAAATTAACATTCATCACACATACAATTTATAAATAATGAACAATTAAAATAAAGTCATTAAATATTAGATTTACATACGCATATAAGAGGACGCATCTGGCGCCAATATAGCCGCTGGATCAATTAAAATCAGTCGATATCGGCAACAACATAACGATCTAACGCTTTCTTTACAACATATGGGCCTTTAAACTTTGACACCAACTTCTCATTAACTCCAGTCATTGTTTCAATATTATGAATCTCAACATAGTCGCCAACCTTATACTCGCGCGCAGCTCTCTGTCTTATTAATTATATCGTTCAGCGCCTTTGCATTGCACTTCGTCTATTTTCGCTTGAGCATTATTCCTAAGTGAGTCAATCGCGTACTACGTTACAATCTTGAATTAAATCGCGTAACACATCGTTCTGTTTTCCTCGTTGCTTGAAACCAAACAATAAGGTGTTTCGTCCGTCGCACTGCAAACAGTATTGTTTATAGAAAACTCTATCTGATCCAAAACGCAATCTCATTTCGAAGGTATCTCTGAGCTTTGCCAGCATCGGAATTATCATTCGATTAAATCATTCAATTTATCCATTCGCTCCCGGCGTACCTACCGCTACCAAGACGTGCTCGATCATTTCGGATTTCAAATACTTTTTAAATGCATTGGACGTGAAACAGGTTTCTCTGTCAGAAATCAAACGCTTAGGCCTACTATATACCCGGAAATAATCGGCGGAGAAAACTCTATACATTTAAGACAGTTAACAACCTTTGCACTTTCTCACATATACGAGGAAACCAGTAAACTCGTGTAATATTTTCGATTACTTTATCAATTTCTATATGACCGAGATTATCATGGCATGTCCAAATCACATTTGATTTCATAGAGCAGGGGACACAAAAAAACAGCTTTTCATTTTTATCCTTCCTATACACAAGCCCGTCTCGTAATTCATAATATTTGACTTCACTATTCTCAAGCTCGTTGCGGATGTTTAAAATTTCTTCATCGCGATCCTGACAAACGGACAGAGTTCTTTTCAATGTGCTGCCCTCGAGAACAAGTATACTGTGGCATTGGCTAAGCGTGTCAATATGACTCATCCTCTTACCTGAGCGATGGACAATTTCATAATAATTTTGCAAAAATAGAGCCCAACGTGAAATTCGAGTCTCGAAGGATCCATCGAGGATTCACGTCTCTTTTATTCAAAGTCAGACGGAAGCTATCGCAATCTGTAATGATTTTAAATTTTTGTCCTGAAAGATATATGTAGAATCTTTTCAGCGCATACATGACAGCAAGATACTTTAATTCAAAGCTATGGTATCGCGACTGGGCAGGCATTGTTCGTTGACTCCAAAATGAAATTGGACACCAAGTATTATCGATTTGTTTTTGCAACAGAATATCGTCAAAACCACTAGCGCTTGCATCGCAATGTAATTCTGTTTCCATCTGTGGTGAATAAATCGCAAGTACTGGTCTATTAGCTAAATATCGCTTGAGTATTTCATATGTGGAATTCTCAACGAACTCGAATTTAAAAGCGTTTTTTCTTATCACCTCATATAATGGCTTTGCTAATATCCAGAAGTTTCGAATAAATCGACAAAAATAACTCGCCAATTCAATAAATCTTTGTACATCTTTTACATTACACGGTATTGGGTAATTAAGAATAGATTCGATGTTCTCATCGCTCAGTCCAACACTATATCATCAGTCGAACCTAACCTAACCTAACCATACGCATTAACGCAATATCCTAAATATTTTATTTCCGTTTGAACGAAAATAACATCCAGTCGAAATTGTAAGTGATGTTTACCTACTACTTCAAAGACTTTAGATAAGATTTTAATGTGTTCATCTATGTCCTTTGTTGCAATCAATAAGTTATCGAGATAAATCAATATTTTGTTCTCTCGGATTAACGGCTCGAATACGGCTTGTACAAAATGCTGAAAAACATGCGGCGCATTCTTATGTCCTTTGTTAGACCAAAGAACATAAGAAAATATTCGAATTGCCTTAGCAGCAGTCACAAACGAGATTATGATTTCATAGATTTTCGTACATTTTACATGATGAAATCCATCCTTTAAGTCTAAAATCGTAAAATATCTTTTATCTTGTACGATATTATCGTCAATTAGTTCGATTGGAAAATTATCACGTATGGTAATCTTATTTAGCTCGCGATAATTATCGTCTTTTTTTGTTGTTAAAACTGGATTGGACTCGCATACGGTGAACAACTCGGTCGCATAATTGGTCTTCGAAGGATCATTCAAAATTTTACGTAAAATCTTTTTATCCGCAAACGATAATCTATGTGGACGCGAACTTATGGGCTGTACATGCTTGAACGCAATAATCATTTGAAAATCGGGTACGCATCCTTCTCTCTAAAAATTTTTGAAGTAACATAATTCATACGCTTCGCCAATTCGCGCGAACACACTTTTACCGACAGCAGGATTAATTTTTAACTCATTACACGAACGAGTAAAGTTATCGTTGTATTCTATGTACATTAGTTGACTAACTGCATATATTTCCTCGTTACTGGTAATTTTGAAAGTTTCTCCGAATGTAACTCGTAATCGTGGGCAATTTAAAAAATCTCTTTCGAGGAAAATATATATACGCTATAGTGCTGCTGGATACTATATAAAATTTCATCCTAATATGCATATCATTAGTCTCCAATATGCTGTAAAACATGCCGTCAATTTTTAGCTGCGAACCGTTAAGCCCGAAAAACTGGCTGACATGTTCTTTCTTTAATAAACGTACCTCTCTCGGAATCACGTCGCTTCGCACCAGACTAATACGCCATCCGGAATCGATTACCGCGTCGCTAACATACTTATGCGATTCGCTGTTCGTATTTTCGATCGTAATTTTTACGGGAATCGTATACGGCTTCGGGAACTCGTTAAGTTGCACAATATTTATTGATGTCGCCTGCGCAAAGTCCTTAGACATCTCCGGCATCGAAGATTGACCTCGTTTTGGACATTCTCTAGCCAAGTGTTCCGTCGATCTGCACACATAACATGTTTTCTTCATCAATGCTCGCTTACATTGCGGCGCGATATGTTCTATCGCCAAATATTTATATTATTTGATCGGCTTTCCCTTGGCCAACGGCACCTCCGTCTTTTCGCTTATCGTTCTTGTTCAATTTTTTTCGTTCTAGCGTCATTATCCCTTATAGTCAGGTTGGACCTTCAATGCTTTCAATAGTTCAGCTCTTGTTTGGTAATTCATCATGCGAGCGTGATCCTGCAATCGCTGATCCGTCACGCCCTCGATAATATAATCCAGGATCTCATCCTTTGCAATCGGTATCCGATTGGCAAGAACTATCTTGTCGTGGTAGTAATCGTAAAATGGCTCACCTTTTCTCCAAATCCGGGATTCGAATTTTCTTCTTAGTGTCAGTTTACCAGGATGCAAATCGAATATCTGCTCCATTTTCTTGAGCAGTTCCTCTATGTTCAATGTCAAATATTCAGCTCTCGAATAGAACCACGATAGCGCGCGTCCTTTTAAACACGAGCTAATTAATGTTCGCATCGAACTCTCGTCCAAATGATAGGAATGTTTTAATAGCTGCAGTTGCTGTTTCCACTTCCAAAAAGCGTTATCCGTTCCGTCAAATTCAAGCAGCAGTCCTTTAATATTCTTAACGCCACCAGGCGCCGGAATAGTACCGTTGCTTGACTCCGTGCTTATCATCGTGGGAGAATTACGTCTCCAACTCCCGTTTGAGTAACTGCTGCTTTCTCTCTCCCAGAGTTCTTTCTCTCGATGTAAAAGCATAAGCTCTATCCTTATCGCGTTGTCGCGTGGCATTACATCCGACGCCACGATATCTACATACTCTTCTCGCGCTGTCGCCCCGTTAGTGATCTCAGCCTCCTCGACAATTTCACTGTCCTCCATCGACCGGCATATCCTTGAAATTCGATGAATCGATTACGCGTAAGACGCCTATCCGTCGCGCAGCGAGCTCCTCCCACGCTTTTGGATTATTCTCACTTAATCGTTTAATTAATTCGTTTTTTATTCCATGTGGCTAGTTCCCACATGCGAAGAACCTTCTTCAACTTAACCACGGTAAATTCGCCTTCAAATTCCATACTCGGACCGTTACTTAGTATCCCTTGTTGAAAGGGTAAATAGTACACTGCTAGTACTCACGCAACTCGCGTTCACGAAACTCGACACTAACGACCGCACAAGAGAAGTACATATAAGAGTTTATCACATCAGAAACAATCTTATGTCCGCATGTTATCTTATGTCCGTTACGTTCAACATTAAATTCGCACCGTAATAGTTAAAAGGGCCTACCTCTTTTAAAGCAAGTTGTAAAGGCGCTCGAATTCCACTTCTAATAAATGTAATTGGTGAAATGTGGATCCGTTGGATCGATCTCAGTCACGAGCTATTATACGTGGAATAAATGTTCGTTTCTTGTCTAGAAGCGAAATGCGAATGCCATGTCTTTTGTTCAGTTCTTAGCGGGCTGCCCCTGTCTCAAGACAAAACAAAGTGCCCTCGATCAAAACAAATGATCAATACAATGATATTATGTCTTGTCAACTCTCTCGCATTTTCATTATCGCTTACACTTCCAAATAGCAACAACCTCGCGCAACATCTTTGCACATGGCGAGCAAATCCTGCAAACGCAGAGCATGCGAATCTGACGCTTCCAAATTTCGACAATCTCTCAAATATTTTAACAGATCATCAGTTTCCATGAATTCCAACACTAGTAACGGAGAATCCCCATCTAAACAAACGGCCAACAATCTTAATATATGTCGAAAATGATTTATAAACTTGGTTTCCTTTAACAATTTCTTTTTCTCTGGGAAGAAGCATCTTTCCGAAGCGATTTTATTGCAACGAATATCTCTGTGCCCGATCTTTCTAAGTTCTTCACATTTTCTTGAAACACCTGCGAAATATTTCACAAATTTACATGTGTACTTCATTAGTAAATGTATATAGTTTAATATCAAGTAATATTATATTTTACTTTATATTAAATAATTCAACGAAAAATATAGAATAAAGTGCATGTTTGTTGTCTTATCTAAATTTTATATTATTTATAATCTATTATAAAAATTTATATAATTTATATCTTTATTAGAAAATACATACATATCTGTTTTGTTGATCCAGAAATTAATTTGAAACATTGGTTGAAAAAATTAATTTTTATCATATCGAATGCGCCGCTACTAAAAAGTTTTGTAAATGTAATTTGTTTACGTGCGATTTTAGTTATCGTACATTCATCCGGATTACAATGTAACATAGGATTGTAAATCATATTGAATTGAGTGTTTCGGTAAAGTACTTCATATATAGAATTGCCAATTCTATATCGGTAATTGTTGAAGACAAACATTGTTCATTATTACCTCTGCGTTGACGATACATAGTTATAAAATTTCGATTTAATTACATAATAATATGTATTATAAAATTTACTATTTTTAGTAAATTTATTCGTTTAGTTTTATATAAGTAAATTACTATTTTTAGTAAATTTTTAGATATTAATTTTTAGATATATATGTATAATCTATTTTTAGATATTTATTAATTTTTAGATATATATGTATAATCTACAATTCAAATCAATACCTACATCAAATATACTTACAACAATAAAAGTAGCAGAGGCAGATAATAGTAACTATAACGATAAAACCTAACATCAGTAATAAGTATTTTTTCACTATTATTCCAGGAGTGCTCGAAATATCTATATTAAGCAAAAATATAATTTTAATATCTTGGTGTGTGTATGTTTTTACAAATTTATTTTTACTTATAACTATATTACAAAAAAATTTAATTTTTTTAAATTTTAGGCCTATTCATATCTAAAAATATTAGTATAATATTATAATATCTAAGCAGCACTGGAATGTTACAACTATTTTTTCAACAATATTACAATATTGCAGTATTACAAATTGCAATGCAACATTACACAAATATTGTAGAAATATAAATTAACAAAGTATGAATTAGATATGAGCAATACGATATTTTTCTATGCATTTTTATGTATTTTTCACATGCAAATATTATAACTATAACGGATTTTTAAAATTTTTAACTAAAAATATAATTAGTAATGTTTAATTAATTCTATAACTAATGTTTATATATGTATAAAGTACCCATTATAAGAATATATAGAACATTTAAAATAAAAAAGTGATTTATAAGTAAGAGTTTAAAATAATTTTGTATAAAAATATAATATTTTATGTTATATGATTACGTTTAAATATAATTTCCCAATATATTAAATATGATATGATTATATTAGATATTGCGAACTTTTATTTCTATCAAGCTTTTTAATTTAATTATACGTTTCCAAGATGTGTATCCATCAAAAACAAAAATATTTTATACTTATTATAATATTATTATATGGTTGGAATAACATTGCATTCTTTCCAATATATTACACTGTAATATTGCTAAAATATTTCATTGCAAAAAACCGACATCTTAACTTCATCACAATTTTATAACAATCTCAGCAGAGTTTCGCAGTCGATTTGTAATATTGCAATATTTCAATTAAATTATTCTTTAATATATCTGCAACCTTATTGTGCTATATGGGTATCTTTGTTTGCTTACCAAGTGTTGAAAAAATACATCTTTCATCAGCCATGTAAAATTGTCCTCATATTCGGGATATCTCAATATCAAGCGAAACTTGTATAAAGTTCCCGATTGAAACTTGTATAAAATTTCCGATATGATATATTATTTCTTTGTTATAATTCATTTTAATATGATTCATTGTTTGCCACTTTTCTGTTGCAACGTCTTTATACTCTGGTGTAGAAAAGACCGTCCAATTGATGTTTGAGATCCATGTCTATGGATGATCCAAATATCCATGCTATTTATGTTGACCCCGCTCAATGTAATATTGTTTGGTTCTGAGTATAAGTGAACGATCAGTTGCCTAAACAGCTTATGGAGATAGTATATATAGTAGTTGATAAATTATATTTTTTTCATCCATTCTTTATAATCAGCTCCGGAAGATTTACAATGATGTTGTTTGTCGTTGCAGTCATATTTTCAAAATTATAAACTTTTTCTTCAAGTGTCAGACATCTCATTAAAGGATATAGTTGTAAAAATTTATCAAAAACGTAAATTCTAAAAAACGATAATATTCAATTGAGCTTATAATTATCTTTTCAACATATTCGAATGCATTTACGCTCTTGAGGTTTGCATTTTTTTTTCAAAACGTAGAGAATTGAAATGAATAATCATTTGCAAAAATATAAATGTTTGTTTCGTCAATCGTCATAGATTGGAATTTAATGTACCTATGTTTTTCTTGTATAAAATCGTATTGCACATAGAAATGTTAATGTTTGTTGCAATTGTGTAATTTTCATTTAACCAGTAAATTAACGGCTTCTAATTATTCATGTTATCAATTATCACTAAAAAAATGTATATAATGAAATAGGCAAAAGGATGCATTTATCTGAACAATTTTCGTTTTCTCCATCGAGATGATATTTCATCATATCATATTCTCTAATTGTATTCGTCCAACTATGTGATATGCAATAAAATTCTAAAAAATATATAATTATTTTACACATTACAAAATATCATTTTAACAAAACCAGAAACTTATATGTAGTAGAAATTCGAAATTCTTATGTAATTATGTAATAACATTTCTTTTTACTTGTGATCTTAATTATAGAATCACGTAAAATTATAGAAAAATTACAAAAATCTTTGCATAAATCTTTAATGGAAAATTATTTTTTCAAGTGAACAGTAGTAAACGTACCTCATAGACGATACATTTAAATGGTCATTAGCAATTTTTGTTTTGAAAATCTCAATCTCAAATTTAATTATGCCATTTCCCACATTGTTAAGTCGAACTTTACAATGTAAAAGTAGTCTAAGTCTTCATAGGTCCTATATAGATTTCTTGCTACCTAGTCAATACAGAGATCATGTAGACGATCATGAAAGCTAGCTACTTTTGTGGTTTTATTTTCATTAATGTTCAATGGCATTAGCTCTGTTCGGATATTTCAATAAATTATATGTTCTTGTATTGAATAAGCGGCGTTTAATGGTATAAATCTGAAAAAAAAGAGCCAACTATAATTGTATGAAAAAATTATAGTTGAGATTTCTAATATTATAGTTATTACTACTATAATGTTGATAATAAACTTGTGTTATAATGTTAATAATAAACTTGTACATAGTAATAATAACTTTATAATGTCAAATATAATTTGATAATTATAACTATTTTTTTATCAGTATATATACTCTAAAATTAGTATTCCGGAATTAGTAAAGGTGTTTGAATCCACGTCCAATATTTGGATACCTAGATTCGGTGTAAGCAATAATTTAGGTATTGGATTTTCATGTGTAGTAGACACATTGATTAAATCCGTATAAGGACCGACAACAATTTTAATATGCACGTACTCGAAAATATGTCGTGTTAGATATTAGATTGTGCACCGTGTGCTCCAATTTTGTAGTTGTGATATTTTTATCGTCGCAGGTTTGAATCTCTTTTAAGTTCTCGATGAAGAAACACCGCAGTGTGTACCCTTGTATTATTTCGGTAAAGTTATTATCGGTAGAGTTAGGTTGGTTCCATCTGTAAAATAATAACATTTCATCCTTTTCTAAGTAACAAAATTATAACAGAATTAACTAATTAATAAATATATATATATATATATATATATATATATATATACAGGGTCTACCAAAAGTGTGGAAACCCCTAAATATCTCGGAAAATATACGTTTTACAGAAAAGTGTTTCCAACAAAAGTTGTAGGGTTTAGGAAGATCTATATACTGATTCTATCAGTTTGACCTTGGATGGCGTCGTCAAGGTCAGGTCAAGGTCACATTGACTTTTTTAAATGACACCCCCTACATTTGATTGCATATTCTTATAGCTTAATTCAAGAGCTTTCCAAAACACTATAATAATGTTCATTTTTATTAAGTACTTTGCGAGTTATGAGGGTTGAATGATAGAGTAGCGCCGGTATTAACATTATCCAAGGTGTACTACATGGAGGTTACTCGCTCGGATTTGCATCTGTTGTGTGTGTGATCCAGCTAACTAAGGCAAGATCGATTCCTCAACATATCCTCATATTTCGCTGAAGTCAAATTGCCAAAAAATTGCTCCATAAAACGTGTATGAAACGTCTCGTTAGTTCCTTCATTTACCGCTATGTGACGCACTACATGCAGTCTAACTCGCATTTAAAATTCAACTAAGAATGTATAAAGCTATCAAAGAACGAGCACCTTCTAACTTCAGCTTTGAGCAAGCAGAAATTAATTGTTATCGTCCAAATACAACGTACGATTAATTAAAATTAAACGTTTTAAAAATGGCTGGCGACTTGTCGGAACGTGAAAGAATCACTATCCTCATGATGCGTGGATGGGGTGATAACGAAAGATCGTTCTCTGATGTCGTTCGATTATTTAATGACACGTATCCGAACCGTCGAATTAATAAGTCCACTGTGTTAAAAACAATAGAACGTTTTAGACAAACTGGTAGCGTAAGAAATCGCTCTAAGTCAGGAAGACCATTGTCTGCAACCAACGAAGAAAAACAACTTGATGTTCTGCAGACATTTATTGAAGATCCCAATTCTAGTGTTCAGAGAGTCGCTCAAACTCACGATATTGCTCCCATGTCGGTTTGGAGAATTTTAAAGAAGAACAAGTTCCATCCATATAAATTGCAATACGTTCAAGAATTGCAAAACGGAGATGAGGAGCGTCGTATACATTTCTGTGAAAGAATGATGGCACTAATAGATGTCCGGCCCATCTTCCCTTATCAAATTGTTTTCACAGACGAGGCAACTTTTACCTTAACGGGAGAAGTTAATAATCAAAATTTTCGTTTCTGGTCAGATGAGAATCCGAATTGGGTGCGGGAAACTCACACACAACATCCACAAAAAATAAATGTATGGTGCGGAATAATAGATGGCTATTTAATAGGGCCGTTTTTTTTTGAAGAATATTTGAACGCTCAAAGGTATGAGAGATTACTTGTTGATCAAATAATTCCAGCCATACAGAATACTTTTCCAAATAATTTCCAAGAAATATGGTTTCAGCATGATGGAGCTCCTGCTCATTTTGGTGCAGGACCACGTCGTATTTTAAATGAGACTTTTCCGCTACGGTGGATAGGAAGAAGGAACGGAAATGAAGGAGGAGAGGATTGGCCACCTCGGTCACCAGATCTAACTCCTCTTGATTATTATCTATGGGGATATCTGAAGAGTAAGGTTTACAGAACAAAACCTAAAACCATTCACGAATTGATACAGCGAATAAGGGATGAAATGGCTTTGATACCTTTTGAAACGAATCGTAAAGTCATTTCTACATTCTACCAAAGATTAGCATATTGTCAGGAAGTAAATGGCAGCCACTTTCAGCATTTACTTTAACACATTGAAACACATTTGCAATCGTTTGGTGCAACCTAACCTGATCTCTGTATACACGCACCGCACGCACGCACACGCACACATTTCGAACAATTATTATGATAAATGAGCATCCACAAATTTATTTACTGTTTACTATGTCGATTGCTTTCCAGGTCTTTAAATGCTCGATTGTAATTTGGTTGGGTCTTTGCTTTTGCTGACTGGATCCACGACCGATCTTGCCTTAGTTAGCTGGATCACACACACAACAGATGCAAATCCGAGCGAGTAACCTCCATGTAGTACACCTTGGATAATGTTAATACCGGCGCTACTCTATCATTCAACCCTCATAACTCGCAAAGTACTTAATAAAAATGAACATTATTATAGTGTTTTGGAAAGCTCTTGAATTAAGCTATAAGAATATGCAATCAAATGTAGGGGGTGTCATTTAAAAAAGTCAATGTGACCTTGACCTGACCTTGACGACGCCATCCAAGGTCAAACTGATAGAATCAGTATATAGATCTTCTTAAACCCTACAACTTTTGTTGGAAACACTTTTCTGTAAAACGTATATTTTCCGAGATATTTAGGGGTTTCCACACTTTTGGTAGACCCTGTATATATATATATGTATATGTCGTTGAATTTTAAGAAAAAGAGAGAAGAATGAAAGAATACTAATTGAAAATTTAGATTCTTTGTCTCAATGTTACAAAAATGTCGTTTACTTTTTTTGTGAATGTAGTTTCATTCATATTGTAAAATCTATTTTTTTTTAAGGCGTCTTGTATATCAAACATAATTCATATAAAAAATCAATCAGTATGTTAATAAGAGTCAATGAAGATTCATAACAATTTTTCAGCAAATAGTATAAGCGAAAGTGTAACTCTTTGCAATTATTAAAACAATTTTTTCTAATGATTTGATTCTTTCATGATAGATTAATTAACTCATCTAAAATTTTACCATAACTCAAATTTTTTTCCAAAATTTGCCGATATTATAAAATTTTATTAATGTTTGTATTTCAAGATTAAGAAGGTTAAAAATATTGTTTCTTTACTGTTATTAAATATTAGTCATAGAATTATATATAAATTCTTTTATTTATAATCATGTCAAGTTTTTTCTCGAATGTTGTTATATTTTTAACAGAAACAAATCCTGAAAATGATAAGTATAAACCGATAGTAAAAACCGATAATGCCTCGATAAGAATATGTGCACATAATTGTATATAAATCGATATATGTACAATAAAAATTAATATAAATTCTAGCGATTGTTATTGAATGTATTGTCGATCAAAATATTAGCGTTAATAGATACAATTTGAAGAATGTTTGATGAATGATTTTTTTATTAGACAGATTTTTTATCTCGATATTTAGTAACTCTGTTCCGTTATACAGAGCGTCCCAGAACACTATATACAAACGCTTGCGAGGAGAGACCAGTAAATTGAAAGTCTTATAGCATTTTATTTCACAATAATAACAGAAATATTAAATATTAAAATCGGACGAGAAACGCTCAGCCGTTCGAGTTATAATACGGTCCAACGTGTTATAATTTTCGTAATAATAACAGAAATATTAAATATAACATCCATTTGAAAAAATAAAATAATAATATCCATTTGAATATATAACATCCATTTGAAAAAACAAAATAATACAATCAAATTGTAAAATACCGTTTTAAGTAAATTTAATATACTATATAACATCCATTTGAAAAAACAAAATTTCGAAACTTTATCCATCTTTTTTTTACAACATCGCGCGTACATACCTTTTTCTTTTATATTGAATTATTTTATTTCATCTTATCTCTTATTATATAGATAGAATATAGTATAATTTATTATCATTCATTTTTAGTTACACTACTAGCTGCAATAACATTCAATTGTTTCTTAACCAAGCAAAAAATATCTCTTACCTACGTGAAATTTAAATTCGGACACATGGAAACACTTTCTTTCTGGAGGCTGTTTGAAGTGGTATAATCTTTCGGCGTGATAGTTGCCTTTATCAGTACTAAACCTTTCAATAAAACACATAAAATTGTTCCAAACATAATTTGAATTGTTCGTAAATGTTTGCACTCAATCGGTTTCCGTTAAATCCTCAGTTAGTTGTTTTTCTCACTCTACTAAGTCGGATGCGCTAATCGAATTAATATTAATTTATATAGATACATATATTTTCGATAAATTCCTTAAAATTCAATTTTAACGAATTGCAAGTTATTATCTTCTAATATTATGTTTTCTGATTTCTTCTTATTGTCACAATCACAGTATATATCTTAAGATAAATTAGAGAATTCTTAGTAAGTAAATAATTTCTATTTCTTTAGGAGAACAAATGACAATGCAAAATGGTACATATTCATTGGATTGTATCGCGAATACAAGAATACAATTATTATTAGCTTTTCTTTTTTAATAATATTATAGTAGAAAAGCAGTCAATAAAAAGATAACCACAATCAAATTATAAACGATCAAAGAAATTATAGAATTATAGATCTTGTAACATTTTCAGCCATATTCAAGCATACGCAGCGTGTAATCAAGTTCACTTCAATTTGCTATATCTTTTATCTTATTATGTAATTATGACAATTCGTTCGTACGATTGTGTACTGCATACAATGGTGTTACTACCTATGCTTTTCAAAATCCATTATTAGTGAGTAAAAATTGGTATATAAATTCACTCTTTGTATCATAATTTTTTGTGTTATTCATATAATGCACTTTGAATCAAACAATAAGTAACGCAGTAGCGTGTTTTAGCTAGCGATCACAATAGTAACTGGCTTCGAATGATTAATCTGATCATGTGTTGCCATGAGCGTCACGAAAAGCAGTACCGTCTATAGTCGGTCTAGTAATGATAGCAAAGAGGGCATCATCGCGTAGAAAAGAAAATATAATAATTTATTATATGTGTATATATATATATATATATATATATATATATATATACTCTCTAAAAGTGAATCACTGAAAAACAGTAAATAGTTACTGATTACAGCAGTTATAAGTATAGCACTGTAAATCAGTGATATTTTATTGAAAGAATCAATTAATAATTTTGTTTCAATCAGTAATATTTTTCAATATCAGTAATATTTCTTTCTATCGTCAGTAA